TCTTTAAAAATGTGTTTGTTGTAGTTATATATAAAGTTTAAGTAGTAAAAATAAAGCTGGAGAGGTAGGCAAGAATTTATCATGACCTTAAACTTTATATATCTTCATTAAGGATTTAGAGTTTCCCCCTGTGGGTGTAAAGGGGAAACATCAAAAGGGTCGAGTCAGGAAGAGTTTAGCATTATAAGACAATAGGATAGATAGGGTGTCAGAAGTGTATTTTCATAAACTTGCTTGTATGTACTGAATACACAAATGCATGAAAAATCACTCCTATTTATAATATTATTGAAAATGATATCTTTTGAATAAAGCACCAACAATCCCATAGTATTATAATTTACATCAAGCCCTATATTATACTTACACTCTGAACTATATAATGCTTTATATACTTTATTTACTTAATGAGATGTATACTGGAACATTACCATACAAAAAATACTCAAATAAAGCCAAATGTACATTGCTCAGATCATGTGGAGCATCAGACATTTGTGTACAATATTTTCACAAGCATCTCAAGATGCCAGATCTTTTCACAACCTCTGTAATTGCTGTTTAGAAACAAAACACTTGTGCTTCTTTCAGTGTCTCACTAATTCTCTAATATACCTATGGTCAGACAATAGAGTAATCATCCTCAGAACCTGAGGACATTGACTTTCCTATCAAAAACTTCATCATTTGATGTTTTCAATTATATGGGTTCATCTTGTTTTTGGGTTACATTTTCCCATCTCTCTACTCAAGGCAGGCATTTTCTTAACTCTTAGCTAGACTCCATGTCCTCTTTGCCTTTGCTCATAGTATTTCCTCTCATGGGAACAACCTTGCCCTCATCGTATTCAGATTCTGCTATCCCTCGAGACTCTTCTGATATCCTGAAATTATAATGATCTAACACCTTCCTCATGTCCTTTAGCACTTACACTATGGAGTTCTTATGATATGCTATGTATTTTTAAAAATAGGGCATCATCAAAGCCTGACAATACGCAGTTTGAGCCTCAGATAAATACCTTCAGCCAGCCCATTGAAAGCTTACCTAGAAAACCAAGGTTCTGGAAAATAAGTTTCCAGAAGGAAGCAGGGAAGAATGAAGAGAAAATTTGAGATAACTATAGTAGTGCTTCAGTTCTGTGAGTGAATGGGAAGTTAGGGTGTGGAAGTAAAGTAGCAATGTTAGAGAAGAAGAGGAACAAGAGTGGAGAGAGTGCCATGTTGTTTTCTAATTTTTAAGTCATTTTTTAAAGATTTCTTTAAGAGAGAGAGAGAGAAAGAGAGCGTGGGTGGGGGAGGGGTAGAGAGAGAGGGAGAGAGAGAGAATCTCAAGCAGACTCCCTGCTGAGCATGGAGCCTGACATCTCAGGGCTCGATCTCACCACCCTGAGATCGTGACCTGAGCCAAAAGCAAGAGTCCAGTGCTTAACTGACTGAGCCACCCAGGTGCCCCTTAAGTCATTTTTAAGTTATGTTTGCATTAGAGTTTTAGGATCTATTTAGTAAACCATAATTAACTTGAATTTGAACACAATGAAACATTTATCTTGGTTAATTGAAGCACTTCACCAACAGCGTATTTGGCACATTGACCAAATCAAATTTCATGTGATTAGAATTTAATGACAGTGTCAATGCACCTACATGAAGATCCATTTTCTTGGTTGTCTTAATAAAGCACAGAGGCATCTACATAGAGAAATAAAATGTCAGAACTAGGAAGAAAATAAATGAGTGGTAACATATTAATGTAAGTGAGGGTAAATTTGCAAAATACTGAAGTTCTTGCTAAATTGTGAAATCAAAGAATAACATTCAACGACAAAAGAACAGATGCTACCATATGAGAATATGCACATGATAACAGAAATAAGGGAGGGAACACCTGTTAAACTTAATTTCATTTCCAAATTTTGTGTGAAATGTCTCAAAATATTTAAAATCATTTTGAAAAATCTAAATAAGAACAATCTGGGAGAAAAAATGCTTATAAAGCTTGCATTTATTTTAGATGATGTGCTGTACGATGTTCATTCACATTCTCTTTTCTTTCCTTCTGAAACTGAAAGGACAATATTTGCACTAACGTGAATGCTGCCCAATTGTGGATTGTTGAACACAGGGACCCTTGTGCATAGAGGTTAATATGGATTCATGTTCTTCCATAGCTTGTAAAATCGCAGTGCAGATACAGATTTCTGTTTGCTTAGTAGGAAAAGTGAGGCCTTTGTGGTGACACAGAAAACCTCAAGTCTTTCTGCAAGTCTGCTTTAATATAAAGAATTATCTTGAAAGATACTGATCTAAGTTAGAGCACTTCCTTTGCTGTAGGATAGTATTCTGGTCTCAGATAGAAAACCCTTCCCTGAAGAAAGAATGCTGAACACTTAGCGCTAACTCTGCCCCAGAGTGAACTGTAGTCAGACAGTAAATATGTATTGAATGAGTGAGTCACCATTTATAATTATTCCAACATTTTCTTCCTTTCCAAAAGTGGCCTTCTTGTTTTAAAAAATGTCTGTAGATAAAGTTCTAACACAACAAATAATTACTGTGAAGTCGTTTCCAAATCCTAACTTAAAAAATTTTATTTCAGAAAATATTTAATATGGTAATATGGGGGTACAAAGGTGAATCCGTTTTGATTCTTTGGAATCCTGAGGCCTCCAGTTCATACTAAAATGTTTGGGTGCTATGATTTATTATGGTTATTCTAATTAATAAAATAAAAATTATGGTGAACATTTATTGAAGGGTTACCCAGTATCACATCCTATGATAAGAGCATTACATGTGCTTTTCCCAAAAGTGAATGTTCTGGACAGCCCTGTGCAGCACTTGTGTGGATTAAGTCACTGTATCTTTCTCAAAGTTACTTAGCTAGTAGTAGGTTATGAATCCAAATAATCTTAAGTTCAGAATCTGTTTTTGGAGTCATTAAATTTTGTATGTTGGTATGCAATTCAGTTTTATTTGGTTTATTGTTCTAAATCCAACTATACTTATAACCTTTTGAAAGAATGTATCAGGTTATAAATTTATGATTTAAGGAAACTGAGCATGTTTGCTTGAGATGGTCTTACTGAGCATCATAATACTTATTATTTTAATCATCAGCCATACTGTCAGTTGTATTAGTGACCTTCCGTACTGACTGAACCTCAGAAGCATACTGATACATGAGATAAAAGTAACATATTTTTGTATTTTCACAGCATGCATCAGTGATATATATAATGTGATACCATCCACCCTCAGTCCATGTGTAGATATACTGTATCTTAATGATTATCATTCCAAGTTTTAAATATTTGTTACTGTCCTTTTTTCTATCAAGGGAAGATTTTTTTGCCTTTCTTGTAATTACTTTAAGATTCATTCTAGTTTTACATCAGAGACAATGAACACATGTGTGGAAAATAAAAGAATTCATTGGAATTCATATTAAAATTACCCCCAAAATGGCCCACATATATAATACATGCCTGATTATTTTCCAAGAATTGTCACAGTAAATATTTTCTCCATTATCGCCACCCCCAGTGTGTGTATGTGTGTGTGTGTGTGTGTGTGTCTAGGAAAGATGAGGAGAGGGAGAAACAGAGAGAAGGGGACAACAGACAGAGGTGGTGGAACTGTTATTCTAGTACTTGAGAATTTTATTAGTGTTACAAAAATTTGATAAAAAAATGAGTATTTTTAGATTTATTCTTAAGATATCTTTTAACATCAATTCGATATAGAATAAAATGAGATGGCATATTGGCAATCACCTAGTCTTTCTGGAGAGAAGATGTAATATACTTTAATGATTAAAACAAAAGAAAAAGTCTCTTCTGTACTTTTAAGGAAAACATACCTCTTTGTAGTATAGATTTAATTTTTCTTAATATTCAGTCAGAAGAATTATTATATCTGAAGAAGTAAGTATATTATTACTATGTTAGTTATATGTGGATCAAATTAAAATGAACTATACATAATTTTTATATAATTAATTCAAAACAGAGTGAAGAACTTTGATAGCAGATTGGATATGAATAATGCAGGTTCTAAGGGATTATTTCTTCAAAAACATTGGCTAAAGAGTTAACGGAATAGTCTATGTATTATATATTTTATAAATGTAATATATATACCACAGCAGGATAAAATAATAAAAATCAAAAAGGTCAAGTCATATGTTCTGTGTGGAATATTTTCCTAGTTATAATATAAATTTATGTTCTAAAAAAGGAAGGAAAGAAATGACGAGGCTTAGCCTCAATATAATAAAAGGATACCTACTGTTATAAGTTCTTTTTATTAATAATAACCATATTTTACAGTTCTTAGCTCTCTGTCTACAATTGGCTAAGTTTGAAAACATGGTATTATATGAAATGAAGCATGCTTATGTAGGTGATGATTCATTTTTTTTCTGTAATTTACTGTGTAAAGGTTTTAAAAATGTTTAGTAGAAAGCTTCAAGAGTATTTTATATAATAATTTCAATGCTGTGTCCCCCGCATTTGCTTTGACATGTTACATGAATTACTTTATTAAATAGTGATTGTCGAGAAGTTGGACTATGTGGTGCATGCAATTAAAAACCGTATTGCTCTTCTATACATGCCTACATATAAGTGACCCCATGGGTCTCCCAAAGTGTGCCTTTAACTGTTCCAGAATTTTTACTGTGCATCTGTTGCTGGCATCTAGCCTCCCACCCACACAGGCTAAGTCTAACTAAATGAAGTTTATGCTAGTGCAATAAAGTATGTAAAGATGAAGTAATAAAATGGGAAGACAGTTACCTTATTAGTGGCATTGCTGAAAAAGCTTCCCTAGAATGTGTGCACATATGTGAAAGAAAATCGAGTGTGTGTGAGTAGGAAAGCCTAGAAAATAATTTATCCATATAGTATTTCTTACATATCTTTTTATGTTATATATTCCAGATGGGATTTATACAGCTCAATGAGGACTTCATATTTATTGAACCACTCAATGACACAATGGCCGTAACAGGTCACCCACACCGTGTATATAGGCCGAAAAGGTCCATGGAGGAAAAAGTCACAGAGAAGTCAGCTCCTCAGAGTCATTACTGTGGTATCATTTCAGGTAATGCCTTCTCCTGGAAGGGTTTAACAAATATGCAATATGAGATGAATACATGAAGACTTTTTTCTCTTCCCTTTCTTCCTATCTGTCCATCTCTCTGTCCCTCTGCCTGTCTGTCCGTCCATCCAACTACTGGTTTTATACTTTTCTTAAAATGTGGAATCTCTTCTGGTTAGTAACAATTGAATATATTGATTTTAGACTTCTCTTTTAGTCTTCTGCAAAGTGCTACATTTTAGTATCAAAAGATGGAGCTCTGGAAGGACTTCAGAGATTAACGTATAACATGCCCTGTATCTCTCTCAAACAGTGAAGTGTTCCTCGTGGTATACTGTTCACCTCACTGGCAGAGAAATGACATCAAGAGAATTCCTGATCTCCCGAAACTGAATACTGAGCTCATGGCCTTATTTTAGTCCACCTCTTTGAGCACATGATAGATATCTCTTTACTTCGACCAGATGCCTCTTCTACTACTTTCTTCTTCTTCTTTTTTTTTTTTTTATTTGGCCCAAGTAAAAATCATCTTGGAGATTAAAATTAACAGTGTAATAGGGAGAAGAGTAAAGATTTATTTCTTTGAATTTTATTCTCAGTATCAAAATACCTTAAATCTGGACATTTCAGAAGCTCATAAACATTTCCAACCATCAAATCCTAGTCTTTGTCTGCCAGTTCTGCACAGAAATAAAATGGGGCTGACTGTTTTGTGCACTTTCTTACTTCCTTTGGCAGAGATGTCTGTGTTAGCAAGAACGGTAAGGAAAACGAATGATTTCTATTATGTAAGTAGGACCTGAAAGTCATAGCCAACACTCAGAAAATAATTAGAAGTGTCCCTAGGAAAAAATTTTAGAGATCTAATCCAGACATCTCAGTGAATAGTCGCTGATAGGAGAAACATTTCCAGTTAGAATCTAAGGAAATATGAATTTATACAAGAATTTTTGTTGTAAAGACATAAAAAGTTGACTTGCAGATTTAAAATTAGGTGTTAGTAGACTTAGGGCCAAGATACCAATTCGAAAATTGGTTATGGTATTTGAGGCGAGTTTAGGTCTATGACTTGTGGCAATTAGTATTATTTGCAGCAGGCATACGCCACTCCTATCATCGCTTGCTTAGGGTGTACAGATTCAGAAAGAATTACAGTATATTTCTGTTTAAATATATTTATCTCAAGTTAATCCGCGATTTCTGTTTTCTTCCGTGAAAGCTCATGGTATCAGTCTGTATGGGAAGCATCTTCAGAAGGGGTTAAGTGGATCTCTGTGCCCCACTATTCACTGGACATGATTTAGTCAATTTAAGTGAGACACATCCCTCTTCCCTCTTTGAAGAGAGAAGGAGATAAAACTGCTGAACAGAAGTCATAGCATTATGACCAAGCCAAAGAAAGTCTCTTGTGTTGAGGAATGATAGCAGCAACAACTTGGATTTAGTTCATTTAAGGAAATTGTCTTGTATGAATTATACTAAAAATCGACGCTGTGCAACTTTCAAACCATAGTAAGTTCCAGCTCTTCTAATTACTCATGTACAGGATGACACAAAGCAGGCTTTATGTGCCATGTTGCACAGAAGAAAGGTTTCTGGAAAATAATAATTAATAGGTTTATAAATCATAAACACAGTTAATATTTGGCAAACATTGCTCATAAAGTTTCTTATGTTTATTTTTAAGGCATGACTGTTAGGTATTAATTGACCTATTTGGGTCAGGCACTTGCATGCAAGGAGTATTAAGCTGCCAGTTGGATGATTCACCCAGTTTACCTATTTTCCAATATGTTTTAAATTTAGGTCTAGAATTTAAAAAATGGCTTTAGGGCGCCTGGGTGGCTCAGTTGGTTAAGCGATTGCCTTCGGCTCAGGTCATGATCCTGGAGTCCCGGGATCGAGTCCCGCATCGGGCTCCCTGCTCGGC